TGATCATCAGAATCAGCAATATCATCAAAACACATTTCAGTCAACTGTGACTGGACACGAAGGACAAATGTAGGAATAGCAGACCATTAATTTTTAAAAAGCACATCAGACTGAGGCATGAAGACACAATGCTAGGTGTGATGCTGTGGCAAGAATTAAAGCTTCACAGCATACTTCCAATAATGTTGCTAACATCTGAGGTTCATATGACTCAGTGTACATTCATTGGACCATAGAAGTGCAGAAAACCTTGTGCAAAGCCAAGGCCCCTGATGACACACACGGTCCAAAATCCTCCAAGCACAGTTCCTGGGTGAACTATAGACTAGAGATCCATATTCCAGCTTAGATTGGTTGAGAGCATGATATATCTTCAGCATGGAACACCTAGCTACTTTCTATGTGGTGGAAGAGAGGGTGCAGAGGATGTCCAGTGCCCTTTTACACTTGACTCTAAGCTGCTTAATGTGCATAATAAATGTCACCTTACAAGCAAAGAGAAGTCCCAGGAACTTTAACTCAGCCATCAAAGGAATCAAAGAACCTCCGAGGTGGAGTTTTGGATGAGAGTCTAATCCCCACTGATGCAAAAATGCATGCAAATGGTTTTAGATGACAAGAATGTGAAGCCATTTACTGTGGTCCACTAAAACAAGTGAGTGAGCGTAGTCTGAAGCTGCTGCTCAATATACCTCATATTTGATGACTGACAGGAACTCTGAAAGTCATCAACTCATAGAGTGTTTGCAACTGTGGGATGAAATTGTTCAGTGATGGCACTGATCTTAATGTTGAAAAGTATAACAGTCAGGACACAGCCCCGAGGGGCTCAAAGTTCCTGGGTGAAGGATCAGTATAATGTTAACCTTTCACGGGCATGGAATGATCTTTTGGCAGAATATTATGATTTAAAAAAAAAGGATAAATGGCCATGCAACTCGTATGAATGGAGGTCCATTAAAATTCCAAACTTCCACATTGTATCATAAGCCTTCTTAGGATAAATAATGACAGAAAAAAGATGCTCCCTCTTATAGAAGCCTGGAAGTCGAATCAACTTTGCCATGATGGACTGCTGTTTGCAAAAACCATAGTGGGTGAGTGAGAACCAGTCAAAGCAATAGGTCGATAATTAGAAGGAATTCTGGGGTTGTTCCAAGACTTAGAAAAAGGGATGATAATAGTCCTATGCCATGCATATATAATATATTCCTCTTGCCAAATCTGATTTAAAACAACCACAAGAAGAGTAAAATATGCAGGAGAGAGATGACGTAACATTTCGTTTTGCCCAACTGATTTATTGCCAAAGTTGAAGTTTCACTAGATTGAATGGTCGATTATAGTCATGGATACTGTCAGTTTCAGAAGAAGGTGGTGCTCTCTTGTCCCATGTCTTGATGGCGAAGAAGGCAGGGAAAGAGGTGAATGTGCTGGAATGATGAGAAAAGTACCCTCCATGCGGGTTAGCAATACCTTGTAAATTAGCAACTTCTTGGCAATTGGAAAAAAAAGAGCGATATATAATTCCAATTCACTTTTTGAATCTTGTTCCAAATGACCTTAAAACTTGGGGTGGAAAAGATTCTGGAGATGAACCTAATCAAAAATATCTTCTGACTTAGATGTCTGACCTGATGGGCATGGGCAAGAGCTTGCTGAAAGGTCATGTGGTTGGGAAGAGTGGGGTATGTCTGGAAGATATCTCAGGCTCTCTTTGGAGCCTTCCGTACTTAGGGATCATACAAACAGATGCCTGGACAATATAATCAGTTGCAGTTTCTACACAGTCATTAACAGAGGGTAGATTAATGATAGCAGGATGAAGCGCTGAGAGAGTGGTGAAAGATGGACAATTAGCCCTCTCCAGCGTCCACTGAGGCAAATTATCACTGCTCCGGGGATCATATTCCACCTTCCAAGAAAAACAAGTAGAAGAGAATTGGGATAAAGGGAGACTGATTGCAATCAAATACTTATTTGTGGCATGAAGATAAGTATAGGATCCAGTATTGAAGAGAGAAAGGTTATGATCTAAGAGTGTATGCTCTACATACTGACTTCACTCGCACTCCGGGTTTTAGCGTTGTAAGTCCGTAAACTTACCCTGGAGAACAGTTCCCAAGTAAATACAAAACAGGTAGAACTTCGTAGTTTCTGAGTAACTAAAAACTTTTTGACACTTTGTGTAGTGGTTCCTAGTTACAAAGCTACTACAAAAACCGACAACATTTCAAGTGGTCGTTTCTAGGTCACAATAAGTCTGACAATACTTCATGTCAGAGTTCCTTAGTAATTACAAAACCGATAACACTTCATGTCGAAGTTCCTAACAAGCAATAAAAACTAATATCATTTCCTGACGTAGTTCCTAAGTAACTTCGAGTCGGAGTTCCTGAGTGAATATAAAACTGATAACTCTTTGTGCAGTACTTCCCGAGTAGCTATAAATTCTCATAACACTTTGTGTCGCAGTTCCTAAACAATTATAACACTAATGATACTTGGTGTATCATATCCTGGGTAACTATAAAACTGAAGGCATTTCGTGTGATATTTATATCGATATTCCCAAGTTACTATAAAAAGTGATAAAATTTCTTATCCTCGGTCCTAAGTAACTTTAAAACTGACGACCCTCGTGTCGTACTCCATGAGTGAGTATAAAAACTGATAAGAATTCGAGTCGTAGTTCCTAAATAACTATAATATTTATGACACTTTGTGTCTTAGATCCTGGATAAATGCACAACTGATGACACTAAGTAAGTATAAAACTTATGAAACTTGACGTTGTAATTCCAGAGTAACGATAAAAAGTGATAATATTCAGTGTAGTAGGTTTTAAGTCACTATAAGTCTGATAACACTTCGTGTCGTACTTCTTGAGTTAGCTCGTTTTGTTTTAGTACATTGAAGGAAAGTTCCTATGTAACAGTAAAACTGTTAAAACTTGATGTAGTAGTTCCCGAGTAACCATAAAAACTGATAATACTACTTGTCGTGGTTATTGAATATCAATAACAAGTGATAACACTTCCTGTAGTAGTTCCTGAGTAACCATAAAAACTGATAATACTACCTGTCGTGGTTGTTGAATATCAATAACAAGTGATAACACTTCCTGTAGTAGTTCCTGAGTAACCATAAAAACTGATAATACTACCTGTCGTGGTTGTTGAATATCAATAACAAGTGATAACACTTCCTGTAGTAGTTCCTGAGTAACCATAAAAACTGATAATACTACCTGTCGCGGTTGTTTAATATCAATAACAAGTGATAACACTTCCTGTAGTAGTTCCTGAGTAACAATAAAAACTGATAATACTACCTGTCGTGGTTGTTGAATATCAATAACAAGTGATAACACTTCCTGTAGTAGTTCCTAAATAGCTTTAAAACTAACAACCTTTTGTACTGAAATTCTTAAGTAACTACAAAACTGAAACAACTTCGTGTCGTAGTTTTTGAGTAGCTATAAAATATATGATACTTTGTTTAGTGGTTCTCGACTCACTAAAAATCTGAATATCAGAGTTCCTGAGTAAATACAAAATTGATGACACTTCCTGAGTAACTATAAAACCTTATCATACTTAGTTGTTCCTAAATATGTAAAAATCTGTTGAAATTTCCTGTTTTTAGTTCATAAGTAAGTTAAAGTAGCTATAAAACTGATAACACATGGTGTCGTAGATCCTGAGTAACTATAATCGATTTGTTTGTAATTAAGCACCAAGCTACACAATGGGGTATCTGTGCTCTGCCCACCACGGGTATCGAAACCCGGATTCTAGCGTTGTAAGCCCGCAGACATACCGCTGTGCCTCTGCCCACCACGGGTATCGAAACCCGGATTCTAGCGTTGTAAGCCCGCAGACATACCGCTGTGCCACTGTGGGGAGTAACTATAAAACATCTAACATCTGAAACTTCGTGTCGTAGTTCCTAGGTAACTATAAAACTGACAACACTTTGTGTCCTATTTCCTAAATAACTATGAAACTGATAATAACTTTAAATAACTAACTTTAAAACTGATAATACTTCCTGTCGTAGTTTCTGAATACCTATAAAATGTATGACACTTCGTGTCGTAAATTCTGGGTAACTATAAAACTTGTGACACTTCCTGTCGTAATCCCTAAGTAATTATAAAATCTGATAATTCGTGTTGTAATTTCTGAAAAACTACAAATAGTTATCGTATTTCGTATGTAACTACAAAACTGGTAACATTTCGCGTAGCAGTTCCTGAATATGTATAAAAGTAATGGCATAATTCGTAATTCCTAAGTGGTTATAAAACTGACCACACTTCGTGCCGTAGGTCCTGAATAACAATAAAAACTTAGTAATGATAACTGCTGTTGTAGTTCGTAAGTAAATATATGTCGTAGTTTCTAAGTAACTACAAAAGCTGAAAACATTTGTTGTAGTAGTTCCTGAGTAAATGATAACAGTACATTAATTCTCCTTGACTTACAAAATATTGCAGATGATCATTACAATATACATTAATGCCTACGACTTTTAATTGTTGCGATAGCTATCAGCAAATAGAGTAATATTTGATTACTTATTATTTTTTATACTTAAAGAATATTGAAAACGTTCCATGTATAAAACTGACTACAAGAGATTTTACAGATCAATTTAATACATATTTACCTGTTGTTATGGCAACTGTCAGTTATTATAGAATGTTACGATACTTACTGACGTTACAACTATTAAAGATTGTTAACATACTTTGTTACAACAAATTAATTTCAAATGACTTACCATTGTTGTTTCAACAGTCAAAGAACTCGAAAATGTTCCATGACTTATAATATTCCATTAATACTTCATTATTTACTACAGTTGAGGTAGTTATCAAAGAATGCAAAGATATACCGTTCATGTTATTGTTGCTATAAATATAAAATTAATTCTCTAATATTTAAAGCTGTCTTCATAGCTGTTAAATGTTACATTAATTCTCCAATCCTTACCAACTGTTGTAGTAACCGTTAGTGAATAAAATAACGCTCCAGAGAATGACCACTGTCGTTCAGTGGCTTCCATGTCTCTTCCATCATATCCTTCGTTTTTCACAGCGTTGACCACCATTTGCTCAAACTCTGTGAGTCTCCAATCAACAGCTAATGTCCAGTTTTTTTCATAAAGCACATTCAGCTCGTTAGTTATTCTCCACAAATCACGCATACAGTCGATTCTGAGTTTCCGAACTTCTGAGCGCGCGCTCAGCTCGTGCTGGGTCTCTAGCGCCTCGAATACTAGGGCGCCCACAATGGCGTAACTCAAAGCCAAACTACATATTCCGACGTCGGAGAAAAGACGAACGGCAAGTAGCCGAAGACAGCGCTTCCACTTGGTCCTCTGTATGGGATCTTCCTGTTCTTCCACATCTCGTAACATCTAGCTAACCTCACACCTACGACTAGGTTTAACGTAAAGTTGAGATATTTAAAAGTTTCACATAAACGAAGGCGAGTTTTTCGTGAAAACAACAACAACAATATAGAAAGTAGAAGTGGCCAGTGATTATAGATTAGACTGATTTAACACAATGAGATCTACTGCCATTGAAAGCGTAGAGTAATATGGTTTCGCTGGACACCAACAGCAAACACAGCAATCTAACATTTACTGGACACAGACATAACCACTTAATCTGTATATTCTCACGAACATTTAAAAACCTGTTACAGAAAACCTTATTAAGCATCAATATCAGATTCGTAAATAAAACAGTGACATATCCAAGAATCCCAAACTATACTGACAGTGATCCCACACTTCAGTATATCTATTTAACTGCTAATAACAGTACTTTGATAATTTCATAGGACAACAATATCCCTTAAGAAGGTGTTGAACTTACGATGATGAAGATCATATTTTAATGACTTGATAGCAATAAAATTACTTTATGGATTAAAATAAACTTGGTAAGTTCAACACCACACTGAACAGAAATGGTACTGTAAATCCAAATGAAAATTAATTCTAATTGATCGGTAAGTTCAAGACACTGAGGCCTTTGGGAAAGTTCAACACGAATGTAGCGATTTCAAATGCTTATCTCCTTTTCAATTCAGAAACTCTATCACAATGACAGTTGTATCTTTTTGGAAGTATAAAAGGTCACTGATAGTCAAAATACAATAAAATTCAGCATCTCATTCAGTATATCCAAATATAATTTAAAATAATACATTGGTGAATATAACAAAACATTAACAGTAACAATTCAATAAATCCAAAACGATATCAGTTTTGGCAGCTCCATACTCTCACACAATGGCGATATTTCTGTGTAATAAAAAACAACAACATTTTGATTATTAGCTACGATAATACAACTTTAGTTAAACAACAGTTTACAGACGTGGTATGTTCGCACCAATGCACAGAAACCTAATTTTCCTTCTAAGTAACACAGACTCCACTCAGGACTAGTAGCAGTAAACCTTAGTTGTTGAAGTCATTTTTAGATAACCCATTCTCTCGTGACAGCTTCAGCTGAGGAGGCGGTCCCAGAAAGAGTAAGATGAATGAACCAACCAGATAACACATTATATTACTACAAGAACAAATGAACCAATCAGAAGGGAAATAATTTTTCGTGGCGAAGAATATTGAGGGTTAAATCGATAACAAACTAAATAACATAGAACCGACATATATTATAATATATGACTTCTTTTCGAACTAAAGTTTAAAACATGATTATCAGTATATAAAATAAAGGCATTAAATCTGTAGTATAGAGCCCACGCATTTGCGCAATAAACTAAAACGTGTGATCTAATCCATTAACCCAGATCTTGAAGGAGATGTATAAATGTAGAAATGAAGTCAGCAGTATTCTCAGGAAAGGATGTTTTTTTTTAGTCCGACTGTATTATTGTTAGGCGAAGACTCATTTTTGTCATTGTGTGTCACATATAGTTGTCTCGTAATTTATATAACGGTTTCTTCTATTTTTGTGGAGGCCTACTAACCTACTAATAATACATATTTATATACATTGTTCGCTACTAACAGCTCATTTTAGCTTCCATTTTACTTTTGAAATTGTTTTTTGTTTTTGGATTTCGCGCAAAGCGACACGAGGGCTATCTGCGCTAGCCGTCCCTACTTTAGCAGTGTAAGATTAGAGGAAAGGCAGCTAGTCCTCACCACCCACCGCCAACTCTTGGGCTACTCTTTTACCAACGAATAGTGGGATTGACCGTCACATTATAACGCCCCCACGGCTGAAGGGGCGAGCATGTTTGGAGGGACGGGGATTCGAATCCGCGACCCTCAGATTGCGAGTCGAGCGTCCTAACCACCTGACTTTTGAAATGCCCCGCAGTGGCACAGCGGTAGGTCTGCAAACTTACAACGCTAGAATCCGGGTTTCAATACCCGTGGTGGGCAGAGCACAGATAGCCCATTGTGTAGCTTTGTGCTTAAGTACAAACAAGCAAACCTTTGAAATTTAATTATGTTTTAGAATAATTTTCCTCCTGATCCCGTTAATTGCTATATTGCTTACATATAAAATTTTCCATCTTATTCTTGTTTAATTGTACACAGCTCAGTAGAGTCTACAACATCTCCAATAAACACCAACCTTAATACTTCCGCGCTGTCATGGTGATCTACAACAGAGGGTGCACCCCAGTGGCAAAGCGATATGTCTGCAAACTTATAACGCTAGAAACCGGGTTTCGATACCCGTGGCGGGTAGATCACAGATAGCTCATTGTGTAGCTTTGTGCTTAACTTCAAACAAACAACAGAGAGTTGTTCTCGATCTATGAAAATAATCTGTATATCCAATCACCTTGCCCCTGTTCATCTACGTGGTCGGTGACTATACATAGGTTAAAATTCGCGTTAAGTTTGTTACAACTCAATTGAAGTGTGACAATGTGAAACCGTAGATGGCGCATAAAATTATCCCTTTTTGGGAAGTTACATTGCAGGACTTTCTAACACGAAACTTTCCAATTTCACGATTATAAAAATAAAAAAGACACTCAATTTTAGCATTTTCAAGAATAAAAATAATATTTCTAGTGTAACTGTATTAGTAAAGCAAAGGAATGCGTGATGCTAGTAGGAAAAAAAAAGCTAATCAAGTACCGCATACCAGTCGCACAGTGTAGGTAGAGAAGAAAGCTAAGTAGCTTGTTAGGGAAGTAACCAAAGAACAGAAAATTAAAGTAGGTAACTTCCTTAGAACTGTAAACAAGATAATTATTCTTGACGAATTAAGTCTATAAAAGCAACACAAAACTCTTATTCTAAAGTTTTCTCTCAAACACATAACCAAACAAAAGACCAATTATTAAAAGCTACATGTGCATCATCTAACATGTGACAAATGGACGTGCATGTACGTCATCTCTATGCATCTGCAAAGTTTGAGGAACCTGTTATCATATCCTACCGGTAATATTAATTTCAAAAATTGCTACAGAGCATGCCACAAACTTTTTTATTTTTTACGGGATGTTTAGTCGTTACAAGTTACAGCTATATGCTAAACATCAGAAGAGTCGAGAAAAATACCATGGTAAACTCTGCACACTATCAGGTTAACTTGCCGTTTCCAATTCATCACGAAGAAACACCATCTTTGTACGTTTTGGATGTTAATAAGGCATGGCTCCATCAAGAAACACGTCCATATTAACATGCCAGTTCCTCTCTAAGATTCAAGTACGAACGGAAATCCTTACTATA